CTTGAAAGTCTTTATACCAATGTGACGCAAAGTAACGAGTCTTTGGCTTGATAAAAAAAGATGTCCATTCAGCACTCTTATAACACTAAAATACCTTCTATTTTGAAACAGAGCAAGAAAAACACCTTCATTATCTATGACGAGTGGCCACAGGAGAATCTGACCTGAAAACCGCACGCTTGTGTTTTGAGCATTACATTTATTCCGTTTTTCCAATTTTCACAAAACAGTTCCTGCATCACACCACTGCACATTTACATTATCTGCTATTATAGAGTCTCTATGACATTATGATGCCTATTAATGGCTTGGGTTATCATTATTACAGGTCTTAAAAATTGCTTAGAAAAAGTGCAGAAAGTTACACACCAAAGTTAATTACAGAGTTAGGCTTACTCAACTGAGGATCATGATTTTGACCCATAAGATTTCACTGTGAGTGGCTCCCTTTATAGAAAAAACAACATTAAGTTTTCCATGTTTTCCACCATACTTGACATGTGATTTTATCATGTAAATGTCACGCATGCAAAATGATTCTGCATGTATTAAAGGTGGGAGAGTGCGCTGTACATTCACTCCCCTCACCTACAATCCCTGCTGGTACGAGACTCGAACCCGTAACCTTTGGGTTACAAGTCCGACTCTCTAACCATTAGGCCACGACTTCCCCACGAAGTAAAGAACTGATTTAAAAATATTTCACCAGTAAGTTCATATGAGATCACAGTGTTTGGTCTTCAGACGGAATCATTTCAAAATGATTGGACATTTTGTCCAGAAGTAATATTTTAATAAAGAAATCATTAAAGAGACTCAGCTCAACATTCTCACTAATAAAAATGAAGAGAAAGAAAGAGATGGATATAGAGAGATCAAAGGTTCTGATGTAGCCTGCATGAGGCCAGTTATAGAGTCCAGCACGCAGTGGGAGGGAGCAACCAATCATCAGATTCCAGACTGAACGAATGCTAGACTCATCCTGCTACACATCGCCTGCATTACCCCACTGAATAGAACATTCACATATTTATGAATGTCATCTGCAAAGCTACGTTATGACAGTTAGATGTCATCAATCATGACAGCCCTGAATCTTTAGCAATATCCTGTAGCCCTCCTGACAATTTCTTAAACCCACTGGGGGTTGGTCGGCAAAACCACTGTAACAAAAATTGACAGGTGTTCCTTCAGTCACAATTGAATATGACAATCCCTGTATCGCATTCTGGAAAATATTTAGAAGTATCAAAGAAAAAGCAATACTGAAATATGTCCTAGATTTAAGCAGAAATTTAGGAGAAGTACTACAGTAGTCTGTGTCCACCTCTAACATTTGGTTCATTCCAAGGTGGTTTGCAAGGATTTTGGCTGATATGTGAATGTTGGAAATTAATTCAGACCTCTCTATGACCAGAAACATATTTTATGAAAGTAGATCAGAATGAGCTTTATTGCCAGGTATGTTTACACATACAAGGAATTTGTTTTAGTGACAGAAGCTCCACAGTGCAACAGAATGACAGTGACAAGACAGGACACGGATAATGAAAAGAATAATATACAAATATACAAAAAAAGCAAAAACACAATATATAATATAGACAATTTTGTATGTACAGGTATGATATGTGTTTTTTCAAACCTGCAATATAACTCGTTCAGATTGTCTGCCAGTTGTTGATTCTCCACAGTGCTGGGGGATGGTGTCTTGTAATTGGTGATGTCTTTCAGACCTTTCCACACTGAAGCAGGATCACTGGAAAAGAATTGGTTCTTTAGTTTTCCAGTATAAATCCTCTTTGCCACTCTGATCTCCTTTTCCAGTGTGCATTTGGCCTGTTTATACAAGAATCTGTCCCCATTCCTGCGAGCATCTTCTTTGGCCTGACGGAGCTGTCTGAGTTTTGCAGTGAACCATGGTTTATCGTTGTTGTAGGTTAAATGAGTCCTGGTAGGAATACACATGTCTTCACAGAAACTGATATAAGATGTTACAGTTTCTGTGAGCTCGTCCAGATCGGTGGCAGCAGCTTCAAAAACACTCCAATCAGTGAGGTCAAAACAAGCTTGTAAATCCTGCTCTGCTTCATTAGTCCATCTTTTTACAGTCCTTAATACAGGTTTAGCTGATTTCAGTTTCTGCCTGTAGGTCGGTAAAAGATGAACTAAACAGTGATCAGAGAGCCCCAAAGCTGCCCGTGGGACGGAGAGATATGCATCCTTTATTGTGGTGTAACAATGATCCAATATAATACATGTAACATGCTGTCTGTATTTTGGCAGTTCACAGGAAAGATTTGCTTTATTAAAGTCCCCTAGAATGATTATAACAGAGTCTGGGTGTTGTTGTTCTATGTCTGTGATCTGATCAGTGAGTTTCTGTAAAGCTGAGCTCACGTGCGCTTGCGGAGGAATGTAAACACTCACAAGAATGAACGAGCAAAACTACCACGGCGAGTTTGCATTGCACTGCTTGCATTTCCTTGTGTTTTTATTCATTTTGATGAATTATCTATATCTATATATATATATATTTTTTTTTTTGTGTGTGTGTGCAAGTGGGATGAGTAATAAGCACTGTTGCAGGTCTATATTTCAGAAGCATACACATTTACTACAAGTACATTTTACTACACTTTTATCTTAAAATAACCTGTATAGGTTAATGCATTAAAGGGGTCATATGATGCGATTTCAATTTTTCCATTCTCTTTGGAGCGTTACAAGCTCTTGGTGTATAATGAAGATCGGTAAAGTTGTGAAGACTAAAGTCTCAAATCCAAAGAGATATTCTTTATAAAAGTTCAGAGTCAGCCACACCTACCTAAAACGGCTCATTCTAGCACGCCCCCACATATCTACCTCACTATGAGGGAAGATTAGCATAATGCAGCCCAAATGTTCACGCAAAGAAAGAAGGCATAACTTTTATTCTCGCTGTAGTATTGTTGACGCTGCAGCCATGTCGTGAAGGCGCTGTGTGCTTCGTTGTGAAAGCGAAACTACTTTGTTTGGTCTTCCAAAAGAGGATGATATT